TCAATGAGGGTTTACACTATACCCTGTGGAGGCTGTGACAAGATTACGTAGGTAAAACAGCAAAAAAACCTCGACCCGCCTCAATGCACTTAGCATGTAGGAAAGCAATTTAAAACAACGCCTGTGTACAAACACCGAAATTCCACCAATATCTTTTTAAAATTCAGAGCCCCCCCAATTGTGATAAAAAAAAACTAATTTCCGCCACGCAAGTGCCTTAAATCGCACTGATCGCTGTTTGGGATAAAATTAAAAACAAAACAAGGGCCCAGCTTCCATCCCCAAAGTCTTAGAAAGAATCCTCGAAAACAGAAAACCCCTGCCATCATTAGTCTCTTTTTTTTACTACACAAAGACGAGATGAACATAAAAACAAGCTGCCTATTCAGTTTATTTTGTCCAACCTTTTTTAGTTCCCCAAAGTAATACTTTTTATCCTTTTACTCAGACGAATTAATTGCTTCCATATTGTATTATTTTTGTCATCCCACTACTACTACTATACTACACCACTGTGAACACGAAATGGTACCTCACTAGTTTACCTCACTCTGACCCATTTTTTTACCCTCTGTGTCATTTTATGTTTGAAGGGCTTGATTAAAGCCTGGGGGGAAAGTTCCCACAATAAATGTCACTTTTTGCTCTTGTGCCCTTTTACTTTACATTTGAATCCTACAACAAGGTTCTTGTGCACTAGAGACAAAAAAGAATGCAGATTTAATATTACAGACTTTGCAAAAGCCTTGAAAGTGTGACCATGGCATAATAGCACAAAAATGGGGTGCTATGGAAATAACGGAAAAAGTTGGTAGAGGATCTAAAATTTCCTCACAAACAGAACCAAAGAATAGTCAACAGAGAAAAGTCGAGGGGGGTACGGTGAAAAAAGCTCTGTTCCACAAGACGACTCCTCCCATCTTGTTTTATCTTTTATCTGAATAGAAAAAGATGTCGCCAAGCACCAGTTTTCCCTTTGCGATGACACCCAAATCTGCTGACGGTGTTTTCCCATTGCAGAACTGAAAGGCTCCGGCAGAATAACCCAAAATCTTTAAATGGGCTGCAGAAAAAAATTTAAAGTTCAAACAAGGAAATTAAAACTTCATCAGGTACAAAAAAAATTCCGGCCACAAATAGAGCGAAAAACCACGTAAAAGCCTGGGAGTGAGATGTCTAGGATCTCACCTTCAAGGACCAAAACATTTTATAAATAGCGCTGTGGGAAAAAAGACAGGATGAATAATGAGAACCTTCAAAACTAGGGATGCTAAGCCCATGATGACCTCTTCAGGTAAACTTGTTCTATCTAGGCTGGAATATTGTGCACACTAACAGCACCTTTCAAGGCAGGTGAAATTGCTGACCTGGGAAAATGTACGGGAGAACCTTCATGGCACGCATAACGGAGAAAAAAAACACCTCAATTACTGGGAGCGCTTGAATTTCCCTAAAACCTGTTTTTCCGTGGAACACGGGGGGAGAGATACATAATTATATACACCTGGAAATTCCTAGGAGGGACTAGTACCGAACTTGCACACAAAAATCACTCAAAATGAAAGCAAAAGCATGGCAGACAATGCAACACCCCCCCAATGAAAAGCAGGGGTGTCACTAGCACGTTAAGAGACCATACAATAAGTGTCAGGGGCCGAGACTGTTCAACTCCCTTTCCCAGCATACATAAGGGGGATTTACCAATAGACCCCTGGCAGTCTTCAAGGGGGCACTGGACAAGCACCAAAAGTCGGTACCTGCCCAGCCGGGCTGTGGCCATACTTTTGGATTGCGTGCAGCCAGAAGTAGCAGCCTGGTTGATCATTCTCTGACCCACCAGGAGGGCCTGGTCACAGACGTCCCGCGGGGGCGTTGAGCCCGGAACTCTCTCCAGGTAAACTCCAGTGTTTTTTCACTGAATATTTCACTGCAGAATTCTTGATTATGCAGTAAGCAGATTACAGTCTTGACCTTACAGTATTTTTTATATATATTGTTTATACTCTATATTAGCTCTTCTGAATACACAAGACTCCCTTTTTTAAATAATATAAGTATTCTGAACATTAATACAAACTTATCTCCTCTATGAACTTATAAGATTTATATGACTGACATTTCATTAACATATTTCACTCTCAACACTGTTAGGGTATATCCCTTTTATATATTCTGATGAGTTTATAACTAAAATATTTTTGAAGCATTAAACACTAATGTGTTTTATCTCCTGAATGTACTCGTGTATGTGTCACAAGACTGCTTTTTTTACTAAAACATTTCAAACACTCAGAACATTGATATGGTTTATCTCTTGTATGTACTCTCATATGTGTCACAAGACTGCTTTTTTGACTAAAACATTTCAGACACTCAGAACATTGATATGGTTTATCTCTTGTATGTACTCTCATATGTTTCACATGACTGCTTTTTTGACTAAAACATTTCAGACACTCAGAACATTGATATGGTTTATCTCTTGTATGTACTCTCGCATGTGTCACAAGATTGCATTTTTGACTAAAACATTTCAGACACTCAGAACATTGATATGGTTTATCTCCTGTATGCACTCCCCATATGTGTCCAAGACTGCCTTTTTGACTAAAACATTTCAGACACTCGGAACATTGATATGGCTTATCTCCTGTATGTACTTTCATATGTAACACAAGACTGCTTTTTATACTAAAACATTTCAGACACTCTGAACATGATTTTGGTTTATCTCTGTATGTATCTCATATGTAACACAAGACTGCTTTTTATACTAAAACATTTCAGACACTCTGAACACTGATATGGTTTATCTCCGTATGTACTCTCATATGTAACACAAGACTGCGTTTTATACTAAAAACATTTCACACACTCTGAACATTGATATGGTTTATCTCCTGTATGTATCTCGTATGTTTCCAAGATAACTTTTTTCACTAAAAAATTTCAGACACTCAGACATTGATATGGTTTATCTCCCGTATGTACTTCATATGTAACACAAGACTGCTTTTTATACTAAAACCTTTCAGACACTCAGAACATTGATATGGGTTATTCCTGTATGTACCCCTCATATGTAACACAAGATTGGGTTTTATACTAAAACATTTCAGACACTCAGAACATTGATATGGTTTATCTCCTGTATGTACTCTCATATGTGTCAAAGACTGCCTTTTTGACTAAAACATTTCAGACACTTAGAACAGTGTATGGCTTATCTCCTGTATGTAAATTTCAATGTGTCACAAGACTGCTTTTTATACTAAAACCTTTCAGACACTCTGAACACTGATATGGTTTATCTCCCGTATGTACTTCATATGTGACACAAGACTGCTTTTTATACTTAAAACATTTCAGACACTCTGAACATTGATATGGTTTATTCCTGTATGTACTCTCGTATGTTTGACAAGATATCTTTTTACACTAAAACATTTCAGACACTCAGGGAAAATTGATATGGTTTTGTTCTTTACGTTTTTCCATATTTGTTAAATGAAGGTATTTCATTTAAAAATTTTTAGTCATACAACGTGGTACAGTTATCTTCCTTATGTTTCTCACATGTTTTATTTCAGATTTTTAATATTTTGGACACTAAACATCTGGGCTTCCTTATGAACATATTCCATGTTAAGAATTATTTAGGCAAAACTTTTCCTACTTATGAACACTAATAAAGTTTACATTGTGTTAAAACCTATCATAATTTTATTTTGTGTTAAAAGATTAATATATGCACTAGAAATTTACAGATACACTAAAACATTATTATTATTATTTGCTCTTGTGTTTAAACAGATTTTCTAAAAATTTTTAATTACGAAATTGCTAACTTGTATTCCTTTTTTTTAACCATTTGAGGGTTTAGACCCCAAAACTGAAAATTCCCCACAGGATCTAAAAAATATTATTTTTTCTAATGAAAATTGTAGAGAATCTTTTTCTGAAAGTAATAAAATAAAAGTACAAAATTTGATAAAGAACTGACAAGTTGTGCTCCTGCAAATTTTGCTGTGTCAGAGTATTTATGCATTGGCAATTTTGCCACTTTGAATCCTGTTTTTGACCAATTAAAATTTTTCCACTAGACCAAATTCTTAGCTATTTTCTAGTATGTGTTCCATTTTATTACTGAGCACAAAAATTGCCCAGATCAACTATTTCAACTTCCCAATAAAGTGATTGGAAAATTTGGGAATTTGGCCCATTTCACACAAAGTTCAAAATATTCCAATTTCAAAATAGGGTCCAGAATAATCAATGCAGGCATTCCTGGCACTAAACTAACATTTTTTTTTATTTATTAGTAAAAATTCCAGGCTTTACAGATGAATTTCATTTTGATTTTTTAATCACACCAAAAAATAAAAAATTTTTATGCAATTTTTGTAATAATTGTATAAATATTATCAGGCATTCAGCAACACACATCAGACCACCAGTGATGTGTATTGGACACGTGATGTGATTTGTTTACCCACTAAACTAGGCAAAAATAGAAAATTTCTACTATTCTGAACTCATTTCAAACTATTTTCAGTACTAAAATCCATCAAAAATTTCTGTAAAAATCTTCTATTCTATCAAATGACACAAGAAAACAGTGAATGCTACTAAAAAAACATATGAAAATTTCACTGAAAGTTTGCTGTTTTAACCAAAAACACAGTCACAGTTTTTTTCTCATTATGCACGTGTGCAGCAGGATTTGTTTTACATGGTGCACACCCTTTCCACATAGATGCATTCTCTATATATAGGCCCAATTTACTGTCACAGCTTATCTGAGTAAGATGAGTTTTGATGTAGTACTACAGCTTAGGACCCTGACTTTAAAGTCGTAGAAACTAGAAAACAGACCCTCAAAGAATTAACTGCCATGCAAAAGCATAATTATTTAATTAGTAATAGCTAGTTAAAAATTTACAAGAAGAACAGCTGTTGCCTTTCTTGAAGTATGAAGATATGTCAGGCAAGATACCAACCCGGTAGTCTTCCACAAAATACTTCTGCAATATCAGTTGTTGTTCAAGACACACTGGTGCTTCTTGAAGTACTGAAATTATAGTGTCAGGCAAAACACAACCCGGTAGTCTTCCACAAAATACTTCTGCAATATCAGTTGTTGTTCAAGACACTTACACTGGTGCTTCTTGAAGTACTGAAAATATAGTGTCTGGCAAAACACAACCCGGTAGTCTTCCACAAAATACTTCTGCAATATCAGTTGGTGTTAAAACACTTACACTGGTGCTTCTTGAAGTACTGAAAATATAGTGTCTGGCAAGACACAACCTGGTAGTCTTCCACAAAATACTTCTGCAATAGAAACATGAGTCCGTATAGTATAATATTTTAACAATTACCAACAAAAAACATTTTAACTAAAAAATTATTTTTTTTTTCTTTGTTGTCACATGGTTTCACTAAAAATTGTCATTAAGTGACAAGGGAGCACAATTGCAATGGGAACCAGTAGAGCAAACAGCGTGGCAAATACCAGGGATTCACTGATGTTATGTCACATTAACACTCCCTTTTAAGAGGGCAGCTGGCTTTGCTGTCTCTCTGTCTATATTTCTATCTATATATCTGTCTATCTCTGTCTCTCTCTCACATATACACAATGTACAGTTATTATACATAGTGTAAATTACCTAGGTAACCCCAAAAAATTTCCCGGCAAAGATAGACAGACAGATAGAACAGGCAGACAAAGATGTTTATGCATTTCAGTGAAAACAAATAAAGCCAGGGTTCCCATAGTGCCCTTTTATCAAATGTCACTGAGCTATCAACAGTTGTCTAGCATAATTCTTCAAGGAGTTTGATACGTGCTTCAGGCACACACACAGGCAGACAGAAAGACAGATAAGCAGAGCTAGACAGATAAGCAGACACAGATGGCAGACAGACCCGATAGACAGAAGACAAGACATGTTTGTGTGTAAAAAGTGATAACAAATACAGGTGGGTTAGCTGGAGCAGTTCACACTTATCAAATGTCACTAGGCTGTCAACAGTATGGGATGCCTTTCATAACACCATACTTTAACCCTTTGACTGTTTCAGTCATATATATACATCTTACGCGCCACTGTTTCTGACATATTTATACACATAAATTCTAGCGGCTTCAAATCAAGTGGGAGAAAGCTGGTAGGCCTACATGAGAGAGAATGGGTCTGAGTGGTGGGTGTGCCCCCTGTGAGAAAAATCTTAGACTCAGTGGTGCATTGTGGGAAACGCCATCTTGGTAGTCCATTTTTCGCCATGCCTAGCAGTAAGAAAGTACCTCACACCTCAGCGGATTGCAGGTCTTTTACTCCCAACTGATTTGCTCTAACAGCAATTAAAGTGTCAGTGAAAGTGAATTCCATGGTTTTCAAGTGGTTGTGACCAAAACAGTGCCCAGGATAACGGGAATTAGTAATGAAAACCCAGATGACCCCCGGGCCCTTCCACCTCTGGTGCTGGCCCGGGTTGTTCACGTTTACCTGTACCAGGATGAAAGAGTAAACTATTTACCCGTGTACAAAGGGTCAGATGTGAGCAATGAAAGTGATAGTGATAGCAATTTTTAAAGCTATGGAAAGCAGTTCTAGTTGTGACAGCAAGGGTGAATATTCCCCAGTGAAGTGGCAGTATGTACGACGTAGCATGTGGTCTGGAGTGTGCCATATGCTGTTCCAAGGGGAAGGAGTAAATCTCGGAGGACATCCCATGGCCCTACACCACGACCTGATAGTGAAGATAATGATATTGTTATGATGGGTATGAATGATGTGAGTGAGGCGGCAGGTGGTGGTGATGATAGTGATGGTGGTATGAGTCATGTGGCACCGCAGCGGGGCCACACTACTACCGACACTGCTGACTCTGCAGAACTACAACCAGCCTCACCCAACCCTACACTCCCACAACCTACACAACCACAACCACATTTCAATATCCAGAACTAACCAGCAGACCGCATCTGGGATTGGCAGGAAGGTGACGAGTTTGTTCCAAGTCCAAATGACTTTGATGAAACACAAAGTGGAATATGGCCATCGTGTACACTTCGGAACAATGCTACTGAACTGGAATGCTTTCAGTTATTCTTCGACGAACCCCTGATGGACATTATTGCCAGGGAAACAAACATACTATGAATACACCATGGCAAATACAATTCTCTCACCAAGATCACAGCTACCCCAGTGGAAAAACACAACTGTGGAAGAGATGTACCTGTTTTTTGCCATAATAATGCTTATGCCACATGTGTATAAGCACACTGTCACCATATACTGGGCAACAGAACGCCTGACTTCAACCCAGGTTTTAGTGACATTATAGGTGTGAATTGTTTTCTGATACTGTTGCGTATGTTACACTTTTCAGGCAAAACAAAGCCTGACAGAAGCGACAGGTTATTATAAGATCAGAAATGTGTTTATGTACCTGAAACAAAAGTGTTGCATGTATTTATATCCATTCAGGAAGTTTGTTATTGATGATTTTTTTTATTTAATTCAAAGGAAGACTCTCATTCAAGCAATACATAACTCACGAAATCATAATGAACGATTGCAAACAAACCATACCCGGTCGGGATTGAACCCACAGTCAGAGAGTCTCAAAACTCCAGCCGTCAGGTTAGCCACTAGACCAGCTAGCCACAATAAGATTCGTCCAACTAGGTATATTTCTACACCATAGGAAGGTTAGCACAGGCACCACTGTGACCACAAATGCAAGTTTTTACAGACGAATCTCCAGCTAGCGTGGCCGTGACGAACTCTAGCTCAAGTCCCTTCACTGCCGTCAACATGACTCGCAAAGGGCTGGAGTTTTGAGACTCTCTGACTGCGGGTTCAATCCCGGCCGGGGTATGGTTTGTTTGCAATGTGTCATTACGATTTCGTGAGTCATGTTGACGGCAATGAAGGGAGTTGAGCTAGAGTTCATCAAGGCCACGCTAGCTGGAGATTCGTCTGTAAAAAATTGCATTTGTGGTCACAGTGGTGCCTGTGCTAACCTTCCTATGGTGTAGAAATATACCTAGTTGGACGAATCTTATTGTGGCTAGGTGGTCTAGTGGCCAACGCGACGGGCTGGAGTTTTGAGACTCTCTGACTGCGGGTTCAATCCGGCCGGGTATGGTTTGTTTGCAATCGTGTCATTACGATTTCGTGAGTCATGTTGACAGCAGTGAAGGGAGTTGAGCTAGAGTTCATCACGGCCACGCTAGCTGGAGATTCGTCTGTAAAAACTTGCATTTGTGGTCACAGTGGTGCCTGTGCTAACCTTCCTATGGTGTAGAAATATACCTAGTTGGACGAATCTTATTGTGGCTAGCTGGTCTAGTGGCTAACGCGACGGGCTGGAGTTTTGAGACTTTCTGACTGCGGGTTCAATCCCGGCCGGGGTATGGTAAGCAATACATACCAAGCGAGGAAAAGCTTTGGTATAAAGTTATTTGTACTGTGCGATTGCAAAAGTTGTCTTGTTTTGGATTCTCATTGTGTACACTGGTAGTAATACATTGAGAGATACCAGGAAGTTATTGGGTATCTCTGGTGATGTGGTTGGAACAATGATGGAACCATATCTTGGTAAGGGACATATACACTGATAACTGGTACACACCTAGGTAGTAGGTTGGTAGACAGCAACTGCCAAGGAGGTATACTATTGTCCTGCCAAGTGAGTGTAAAACAAAAGCCTGTAATTGTTTTACATGATAGCAGGATTGCTGGTGTCATTTTTTCTGTCTCGTAAACATGCAAGATTTCAGGTATGTCTTGCTACTTCTACTTACACTTAGGTCACACTACACATAAATGTACAAGCATATATATATACACAGACACACCCCTCTGGGTTTTCTGCAATTTCTTTCTAGTTCTTGTTCTTGTTTATTTCCTCTTATCTCCATGGGGAAGTGGAAACAGAATTCTTCCTCCGTAAGCCATGCGTGTTGTAAGAGGCAACTAAAATGCCGGGAGCAAGGGGGCTAGTAACCCCATCTCCTTTATAAATTACTAAATTTAAAAAGAGAAACTTTCGTTTTTCTTTTTGGACCACCCTGCCTCAGTGGGATATGGCCGGTTTGATAAAAACAGAAATAAACTGCTACACAATCCCCATACTCAGTGATTTCTTGCGAGTGAACCTGACAAACGTGTGTGGCACAGTGCATGGTACTCGTAAACATATGCCAAGGTTCGACACTGGGACTTGCAGAGGTGAGGTGCAAGCCTTTGCTGCCAGTGACATCATGGCATTTCGGTGGCATGACAAACGTGATGTCACATTGTTGACATCAGTTCACTGAAACGAAATGGCACACACTGGCAGACACAATAGAGAGACCAATGAACCATTCTAAACCTGCAGCTGTCATGTACTACAACCTCAATTATTATTATTATAATCAAAAAGAAGCACTAAACCACAAGGCCTATACAGTGGACCCTCAGCTAACATGGCATCAGCTAACGTCAAACCCAGCTAACGATACATTTTAATGCAAAATTTTCACTCGGCTAACGCTAAAAATCTCGCCCTACACAATTCGTTAAGACGCGGTCCACGTGTGGCCTGAGCGTGCCTCAGTTGTCCCGTGGGTGCCAGTGTTTACAAGCCAGCCAGTGCGGTCGCATCCACTCATACAATCAGAACATTTCATATTATCACAGCGTTTTAAGTGACTGTACCTGCAAAATAAGTCACCATGGGCCCAAGAAAGCTTCTAGTGCCAACCTGTGGTAAAAAGGGTGAGAATACTATCTATACCAGAGTCGGTGTTGCTGCACCATGGTCAGCTGTTGCTGCACCAGTCACTGCTGCTGCACCACTGTCAGCTGTTGCTGCACCATGATCAGCTGTAGCTGCACCACAGTCAGGTGTTGCTGAACCATAGTCAGCTGCTGCTGCACCACCATCAGCAGTTGCTGCACCACAGTCAGGTGTTGCTGCACCACAGTCAGCTGTTGCTGCACCAGTCACCTGCTGCTGCACCACCATCAGCTGTTGCTGCACCACGGTCACCTGCTGCTGCACCACTGTCAGATGTTGCTGCACCACAGTCAGCTGTTGCTGCACCATGGTCAGCTGTTGCTGCACAACTGTCAGCTGCTGCTGCACCACTGTCAGATGTTGCTGCACCACAGTCAGCTGTTGCTGCACCATGGTCAGCTGTTGCTGCACAACTGTCAGCTGTTGCTGCACCACAGTCAAGTGTT